TAGTGAACACTGCGTTTATTTTTTACATTATGTCTAGACTCTAGAATATTGTAAAGGTGTATTTACTTATTTTTTTGGACAAAGATTACTTTACCTAATGTTGTTTTATTCTTTTACTTTAGGTAAAAACGATAAAATAATTGGCTACTGTCGAGTTCATTGCAATTTACTGGCATCCCGGCTACTACTAAGTTACCGTAAATGAAAAACAAAACGGTAATCTATTAATAACCAATAAGACAGTAGTTTACCGTGATTGTTTTTTCAGTTTAATTTACCAGCAATCAGTTCGCCATTAAATTACTGTAAACCTTACAGTAAACGTTTTATAGTGTACGTTAAACGGTTTTTTTTGGGGGGGGGTGCATATTATAAGGTCAAATACTGATAAAACCGTATTTTCTAACTAATTAATTAAGTGACACGTCAACTCATGGCTAGCTCTGAGTTTGGGTTTACAGATGTGATTGTTAAAAAACACACAAAAATACTGAACTTTCGCCCACTTTTAGTGAAAGGTGTCCTTTTTGGTTTAAAATCAATGAATAATTCGAACATCAGAATAATTCTTACTAAATTAGTATGTAACTTCGTGGAATTCTCAGATTAAACTGATTTCCTCAAATAATATGAGGTAGGTCTCCTTTATAGCAGGAGGATCGGTATGATAATAACGAACTAAAACTGAATTTAAATAAACTAACTGCGTTTATGTAAAGATATAAATAGTTTGGTCACGATGTGTAATAAATCTACACCCAAAACAAGGACAAAAACACAGTGTGTATACTTGCTCTCTAGATGGCCGCCTTTAAATGGATTGGCGAATTCATCAACTGGCTTTCTTCCCTCAAGATGTCTTCCCATTAACTAGTTAACGTTAAAAAATGGACAAGAATTTTTACTCTAACAGTATTTATTCTAGAATGTTTAAATGTAACGTACCTTATTTAACAGAAAATGTTGGATTTACCCATAGCAAGTAGCACTTTTCACGTGACTGATCATTCACCTTCAACATAGAGAAGGCCAAAAACCTCGAGATATCATCTGGCATTCCGTTGGAGGACACTAACTGTCCTCCAATCTTGCACAATGTGCAGTATTAAAACCAACCACCCGTGGTCATAGAGAAGGCCAAAACCTCGAGATATCATCTGGCATTCCGTTGGAGGACACTAACTGTCGACATTCTTGCAGTATTAAAACCAACCACCCGTGGTCATAGAGAAGGCCAAAACCTCGAGATATCATCTGGCATTCCGTTGGA